CAGTATGTCTCTACCCTTAATCTCCTTTAATTTTTCTCTAATCAGCAATGATTCAGCTGAATGGAAATGAAACCTTCCTCTATAAATGTGTACTACCTGAACTGTGTTTGACACTGCTGGGTACTTCCTTTGAATGAGAATGCTGCTATTTTGATTTCTATGACTCAATGATCTCCTAGCTTACTTTCTTCTCTCTTAGCCAGCTACTCGGTTGAGTCACTTGGCCAACTATTGCTTCACTACTAGACACACAAACATTTTCAAATTCCTGGAATACAATTATGCATGTACTTTATTTTACTTTTCATATTCCTCTTTCAGGAGCCGTATATGAGGGCACATCAAAAATTGTGCAAATTGGATTGAAATTATGAATTCATTTTAATGCAAAACAGAAGTGCCTACACAAGGTTTTTTTTTTTTCATTATGAACTTTTCGCAGACTTTTTATCTAATGAGATTTTGAAAATTTTTGTATTCTAAAAATGTTTACACCAAAATAAATGTTTTAATTCCAGTTCCCATGACTTTTTGAAGTATTCTTTTGCTCCACTGCATGGCTGTGACTTTCTTTCACATTCGGTGTGGGCATTAATTGTCTACCTTGCATCACTGTTAGAGCAACTCTTAGAGACTCATATATAAATATTTCAATTTCTTTCATTCAAAATCCCATTCTTTTCCTTCTGTCCTCTAAATTGTTGAATCATACTTATGATTCACTCTGCCTGAAACCTGACTGTGGATGTGTTCCTGTATGTCCCTTATCTAGTCATCCTCCTTGTTTCAACCATGCTCAAAATAGTGAAATACAACAATTAAAACTAACAAATTAACGAAAAGACTGGACTGCAACATAACTGTCCATATCACTGTTCTTGTGGGGAAATTATTAAATAAAATACAGGATTGCTTTAATATAATATGCACTGTGATCTATGAAAGTTGTAACTAAGGGGCAGGTGGCAAATAAAGGAGATGGTTAGAAAATCATTTTGGCAAAGGGTTGTTGTTTAATTCCCTGATATGTGCCAGTCCTTGGCATAACGTAGCTCCATAGTTATAAAGTTCAATAAATCTCTGGTAAATACATGCATAAATAGGTTGTAAGATCTTTTCCTTTTAAATAGCTGAACTGTAAGAGGATACAATAAGCTTCTTGGGTCCAGGAAATACACAAAAAAAGTTAAGAGCTCCAAAACCTTAGATAAAATAAAGAATAATGGGGCCAGTTAAGAAATATGAAATTTTGCTTAGGATCCTTGATTAGAAATGATAATTTTTTTAAAAAAGTACTCACCCAGAGGTGATCATCCTTCAGCACAGCTCTCTTTGTCTATTGCTCCATCTGGTTCAAATAGCCCTCTTAGTCACGTGTAGGGAAATTGACTGTATCTTCATCTTGGTTTTGTTTTTCTTTCTTCCCATTATCTGACATTCTAGATTCAATATAATTTTGGGCTTTTAAAAAACGTTTGTCTTCTTTTTTACTGTATTTCTAGAAAAAATAATAATAAACTGTTCACTTTATAAACGCAAATGCTTCTGCATATGTTCACACAGATTTCGGTGCACAAAGAAGCACTCTCCCCCAGTCTATCCGTCCCCACTCCACTTGTACATTGTTAATTTCTCTTCATCCTATAGCTGCCAATTGAGACATCATTTCTTTAGGGAAGTCTGAGTTGTGTGCACCTGTTTGTCTCTTTAGCCACCTGCTTCTCCTGGGGTGGCACTCTGTGAACTGAATGTAATTCTTTTTATTCACCTGCTTCTTTCAATTCAATGAATGGTCTTTGGGCATAGGACAATGTCTATTCTGTTCACTCCTACTTTCCTAACTCCCAGCACTGCATCTGCAATTTATTAGGCACTCACTATACATTCCAAATGAATACATAGGACTGCATGGAGTCATTTATTCAACCATAGAAAGGTACAAAAAAAATGTCAGTTTCAATTCATTATTTCTTTTTTAGGATATTCACTTTTATTATACCTTTAAGAAATTGGCATTGAAAAATATATCTTGATTTTGTAAAGCTGACTCTTATCCTTTTTTCTACAAGACATTTATGTTTACCTTTAGAGCTCTGATTTCTTAGTGTTTTTGGCCCATTTACCCAGGAGAAATTGATTCATACTATTTTTATTTTTTAAATGCTGGTATGTTTTTATCATGCAATTCAATGAATAGATTCAAAACTGTTTTGAGGCCACATTTTTCTATATTCTTGTTCTTTCACCAATTTTAACTTACCAAATATTCCATCTACTTATGTTGATGGATTGTTTGATTTTATTCTCCTGTGTGAAGGAGTAACTGTGTCTTTTGTAATACTCTTTCTTAACTGACATAACGAATGCTCAGCGAACAGCACAGATGCAGTCCTTAACCAAGAATTTACAATTCTAGGGAGACAAAATAAATTTAAAAGCAGCCTGTATGCTTTGTTTAAGATGTTTAAAACTTGGCTGCTATGAGCGACAAGCAGGTTTTCCTGAGGTAATATTGTTTATGTGTTGCTCAGGTTAGACTTATGGTACAGGGAGGCATAAATAGCTGTTTCGGTGAAGAAAAGTTACTAACCATGTACGATACTCACATCATCTTCCCATTTAATATTGATGCTGCTTAAAGACATTTATTCTCATGACATTTCAACTAGGTACAATTTAATATTAAAAGACCTTTCCATGATTTTAATAAAATGAAGCTTATGAAAGTGAAATGTAAGTCAACATTTATAAAGGAGGAGATTCTGATTGGCCAGTAAAATGTCACATGTGACAGGATATCAGGAAATGTGGTTCTGTCTTCTCCACCCTGCCATTAGGATTAGACCCAGGGTTTACTCTCCACCTCTGACATGCTCTAACTTTGCACCTTGTTGGTGGAGCTTTTGGAAAATATTTCCAACTCTCCAATGTTTAAATACAGACCCAGGTGTCAAAGTCTTAAGAGAATTGTTGAATTTTCTCTCCTTGCTCTCCAAATTACAGTGTCAATAGGGCCAAGTCGAGTGAAGTGAACTTACTGCAAACCCAGGAACCTTGTCTCCCTGAGTCTGGCTGCCTATGATAAAGCAATGGAACTGAGTGGCTTTAATATGTTGTTTCTCATAATTCTCTTTCTGCAGAAGTTCTGACCTGTATGCATAGCTGGGGTTCTCGTGAACGTAAACTTGCCTTTGGAGAAATGGTTTTCCCTGGTCCTTAGAGCCAAGAAAATGTTTACATACCCAGGAAATTAAGCAGGGAAATGATGAGGGAACTGCATGATTAACCATTTCTGGGTTTGTTTGTGAGAATTAGACAATGGTCACAGTTGCTGCAGTGAGAGAAATAGTAGGACATCCTGAACATCACCAGTCCCCTTGGTAGCAGGATTAACAGCAATGACCTACCTTCAGAAAGAAATCATCCTGAATAGCCCTGTAATTTGTGTTGGAATGGTAGTATTTGTTTTGAGTGGATTGGTGCAGTGTGAGGTGTCTAAACAAACAGGTGTCACACATTGGCTGTGGACAACACGTGCTATCAAAGCCAGATCACTCTTGCCTGGACTTTTGCAGAAATATCACCATCCCCCACTCCAAAACCATAAAAGATTTCACAGGAAGTATACTAAACAGTAGATTCTATCACAAGAAGTCAGAAGTACAGGAGAGAGTCCCTTCCCAGGCAGGTGGGGCTTCCTGCAGTGGCAGCAACTGATATGTAGTGACAAGTGTTGGAAATTCTACATCCAACAGAGCATTGTAATTCCTTCACCTGACTATGATTGCTTGCTTGCTTCTTCTGGATGAATTGTGACACCTGCTCCTCTTATCAACCATTTTCCCAAGAAACCATTCTGGCTTAAGTTAAATGGTCTGTTCCATTCTCCTGGAGTTTAATGACTCTCTGATCCTACCCAAACCCCCTTTCTCTGCCTCCACCTTACAGGACTGAAAGCTTCATTGATTATTTTTCCATATTTCCCTTCATTGCCACCCAAACCCTTTCCACCTTCTGAGTGGTTGTCCAGTGTCCCATTAGTGACGTAATGACTTCTAGGTTATAAATGTCCTTGGGGGCAACCTTCCAACCTCAACCCCACCTCTGTCTCCCGTGTCAAGTGTGTTTGTCTGACACTGCTTGATAGACCAAGCTCTTTCATCTCCAGTCCTCAGGAAAGCTCATGCTTTGAGTCTTGGCTTCAGTGCTGGTTAGCTTCTGTGAAGCTAAGAACCTCATTTTTTTTAATAATGGCAATTATACTGCTTTCTCTAAGAGATGAGAAATTGGAAAACAAAAGCAAACTAGCAAAAATAATAAAACTATTCTAACTAGCCTGTGAGAGTGGGGCTCAGCACTTGAGCCCCTAGTTTTGGCCCTGAGGAGCTAAAAGTGAAGGCTAATGACTTTTTTTAAAAAGAATGAACTATAAAAGCCAGGAGTAAGGGGGGACCTGTAGGTTGATAAGACATATGTGGGTTCTGGAATCGTAGTCTGGGTTCAACTCCTGGATCCCTCTTTCTCACAGCTGTGATTTATAGAGAATGCATGGCCTGATTAATTCCTGATTTCCTCCACTCTTTGCATTAGTATGTGATTGCCTTACAGGGCTCTTGGGAGCACTTCATAAAAGGAAAAAATAAGCATTACACAATCTCTCCCTCTTTGTGTGCTAAAGGCAGCTATTAATTTTGATAAAATGTAGAAAATGAATGCAAGGAAACTATCCTAAATATCACCATTTGTTATTTCCAGGTGTTATGATTACAATTTTACTTTTTTTCTTTTTCAGCCGGGTGGGGAACCACACATTTGTATATTTGTCAGTTGTTTTGCTTTTTTTTTTTTTTAAGAAAAATGAGTTGCACTAGAAAAGTACAAATGTCACAGATTTTTGATTAATCATGAAGTATTTGCATATTTCATACAATGAAGTATTCCCTTATTCCCAACCATACCACCTGTTACAATGATAAACTACACATCTCCAAAAATGATTGTATCACAAGGATCTTTAATGTTTAGAGTTTAATCGTGGGTTGTATATATGTTTAGTAAAGTGTGCCAAGTGCCCACACTGGGACCCTCTCAGTTCTAAGCAGTTCATTCCAGATGTTGCCTGTGCCCAGCGAGGTCATACACAGGGGCTGTTCTCTTGGTTAGGCCAGCTTTGCTGGTGAGATCTTCCACACTCGCCAGGTGCAGTCTACCCCAGTACAAAGCATCCGTCCCATAGAAAAGAATAAGATGGAAAATTTCTCAATGTATTTTCAAAGTTTAGCACGTCTCTGGTACAAAAATTCAAGAAAGGTAGCACAGAAGCGAAGCACCAACAGAGCTTACGTATAAACACACATGCATAAATGCTAGACACTACTCGATAGTACCCAAGTGAATACAACATGGCATTAAAAGGTATAAAAGCACTGTACTGAAAATGGAAAGGTTACACGTGAAATACTGCACTGTAAATCCTGAATACTCTAACGAGCCGCCCCCACCCTTCCACAGCCCTGGTGGGGGTTGGAAACTTCCATCAGCCTCAATAGCTCGCTAGTCCTCGGACACACTGCTGCGGGGGCAGTGGGCATTGGGATGTGCCTCCCGCAGGGCTCTGGCCTCCTCCAGAGCCTCCCTGTATCGGGAAGGCCACGCCTGGGGATCTTTCTTAAAGACCCTGGCCAGGAACTCCATGATTTGCATCTTGGTGATTTCTCTGCAGGCTCGGGAGCCCCAGAAGAACTCATACTCGGGGGGCTCCACATGAGGCACACGCTGGTACTTGAGGTAATTCTGCTGGACGAACTCCTCAGTGATGACCTTCCTCACGTCGCCGAAGGTGGAATGCTTCTTCCAGGGCCTCAGCCCCAGGATGCGCAGCACATTCCAGACTGCGCTCTCCCGGGCTCCTCGGCCCTTCACGTAGATGAGGCTAAGGATCATGAGCAGGAGGCCCATCATGGGCATGTGGCTGTTCAGTGCCACTCTTTCCAGCTCCTCCGGCTCAAGCGCCTTGACCAGCGCAAACTCCATGGTTTGCAGGCTGGTTAGCTTCAGGTGCAGCCCAAAGACTCGGGCAAGGATGAGGCTAGTGCGCCGGAGGATGCTTCGGCACCACTTCTTGTAGCTGCCGATGACATCCTGCACTATGTCTGGAAACCAGATGGCCATCTTCCTCTGGTCCTTCACCAACACGTACCACATGAGCTCATGTGCCTTCTGCACCAGCTGGGCCGGGTCAGGCGGGGATGGGCTCAGTTGGGCCTCGCTCTGGGCCTGGTGGGCGCAGCCCTCCTCTGCAGCCTGCAGCAGGGCCTTTGGGTCGCTCTCATCGCTCGGGTCTTGGGACATCAGTGCCTCTGGCGAGGCGGCCATCGGGCCTGGAGGAGGACTCTGTGGCCCGGCGAGGGTGGCGGCGGCCGAGGGGTCTGCAGGAGGGACCCCCACCGAAACCCCGGGGCTGCTATGCACTTCGGGGTGGGCGGCCTCGACTGCAAAGCCGGGCTCGCTCAGGTCCTTACTTTGTTCCGACATGTCTGCGCCGTCTGACAGCAGCACGGCCTCTGCGTCCCGGAGCTCCTGGAGCCTGCCTTCCCTCCGCGGACTCCTGGAGAGGAAGTGCGCGATGCTGCGCGCGCGTTGCCTTCCGCAGCGGCGGGCAGGGCGGGGCGGCGGCGGGACGGCACTGTGCGCCTGCGCGCCTGCGGGCTGGGTCCTGGTTGCAGGGCGGCAGAGCTGTCTGGCTGGAGGCGCGAGGTTGTGCCTAAGGGTGGTGAAGCTGCCCTGGGGACCAGAATCAAGGCCCTGGGTTGCCTGCTTGTGCTGCGGAGATCTTGGGGCTGGGTGGCCACTGAGAAGGAGCAGGTTTAAATTTCCCACATGGGCAGGTCATTTCTTACAGGTGTTCTTCTGGCTTTGTCCAGAACCCAATGTGATAGGATAGTCTGGTATGTCACCTTGGGTTTCCTGCAAGTGAGTGAGAGGCTCCGTTGGGATTGCTCAAGAAAATGTGTGAACAGTTGGGATTCTCCAAGAAAAGTGTGAACTTTGAAGAGGAGCTGAGATAGGAATCTTGGGAAGCATCTGTAAAAATTGATGAAGTTCCACCCTACAGCATCAAGGGTGTTTCAAAGCCAGGAGGAATACAGATGGTATTGAATCTGCTATCCGTGCAAATGTCAGTGTTTCTGGAGACAGTGGGTTTAAACCATTATTAGGTTGGTGCTTTAACACTTTTAGCTGACAGATAATTGCACATACTTGGAGTGAATCATGGCAATATTTTTGTAGACATAGATGATGTGTAAGGATCAAAGCAAGGTCACTATCCACCGCCTCACACACTTATCATTTCTTTGTGTTAGGGACAATCGGAAGTCTTCCATACAGCTATTTAGGAATATGCAATCAAGTGTTGTTGCATGTAACACTTAACTTGATAGAGAACACCAGCATTTTTCCTCCTATATAATTCTAGTTTTGTACTACCTAACTGACTTT